CAGTCTGGGTCTTATAAACTCCTGGCACTAACAAATCAAAACAAACTTTCAAGCCAAAGCCTTACACTATAGAAAAATTGCTTTTAATTCGATATAAATTGAACAAGACAGGAAAATATGGACAAAGAAAGAGATGATCCGTGTAACACTGGAGGAGGGGGAAAAAAGGAAGTAGATTGCAACTTTCTCAACCCAGAAAAAAAAAAGAAAAAGAAAAGAAGAGCTTAACAAAAAATATATCACAAACATAAAGGAAAAAACCAAACAAATCAGGCATTACACTAAATGTGAACACTAAAATCTATCATTAATCAGACTGGGTTAAAACAATAACAACAAAAAAGCCATTAAGAGAGAAGATCCTAAGAGTTCTCATCACTGGGAGAATTTTTTTTCTTTTCTTTTTATTGTATTTATATGAGATAGATAATGGATGTCAACTAAACTGTGGTAATCATTTCACAATATATGATACATAATATATGTGGTAATCATTTCACAAACCATCATGTGATATACCTTAAACATATACTGGGATGTATATCAGTTATTTCTCGATAGAAAAAAAAAGGCTATTTGTTGCTTCAAAGAAATACACTTATAATAAAGTTATGGTAGAAAATAACAAGTTAGAAAAAGAAAAGAAAAAAATACCAGGCAAAGGCAAATAAAACTGAAGTCGGAAAAGAATATCAACAGGGTGAAATTTAAAGTTAAAAGCAGTAAATAGGCTACAAACAGATACTGTATCAAAATAGAAGTTCTTCTACAACTTATGAAGAAAATACAATAATTATAAATATATACAAAACAATTAAGTAATTAATTATATAAAGCAAAACCATTCAAAATGGAATAAGAATTTGATACGTATCCTATTAAAATAAAAGCCTACAATAGGTTTATTTCAGAATGAGACAGATCTAGACAACAACAAATATACAGCATATATTTACCAAATTGATGATTTGGCTATAAAGAAAACCTTGTTGTCAGAATAAAATCCAGTTACGTTAGAAACAGAGTTTTTTTTGATTGATTTATTCATTTTAGGGGTGGGGGATGGACAAAGGGAGAGAGAAACTCCAAGCAGACTCCGTGCTGAGCACAGAGCCTGACTCGGGGCTGGATCTCACAACCCTGAGATCAGGACCTGAGCCGAAAACCAAGAGTTGGAGGCTTGACTGACTGCACCACCCAGCTGCCCCAGAGACAAAGTTTAAAAAAATAAAACCCTCAAGTACTCAGATATTAGAAACAGTCTCCTTGAGAGCAGTTGCATCAAAGAAGATATAAATGTGAAACAATAAACTATATAGGAAGCAATGAAAGCAGATAAAGTAGTATGCAAACTTTACTAGAATGTAAACACCATTATGGCAAGAATTTTGCATTTATGTGTTCCTAAATCAGTGAACACAGTAAGTGTTCAATAAATATTTACTGAATACATACCAAAACTAATAGGCACAACAAAAACATTATTCAGATGAAAACTAAAATATTTGGTACTCACCATCAAAATTATAAAAAGAATAACAAATAGAAAAACATTATAAAATGAAATTAATAAGAGGAATTCTCAAGTTAATTTTTAATGAAAAAAATAAATCCAAAGCTGGTTCTTTGAAAATATGAAGATTAGTAATTAATCTAATCAAGACAAACAGAAGAGGGGCGCCTGAGTGGCTCAGTTGGTTGAATGTCGACTTTTGGTTTCAGCTCAGGTCATGATCTCTCATCATGAGATCCATCCCATGGTGGGGTCTGTATTCAGCAGGGAGTCTGTTTAGGATTCTCTCTCTCCCTCTCCTTTTGCCCCTCCCCCTGCTCATGTTCTTGCTCTCTCTCTAAAATATATAAGTAAATCTTAGAAAAAAAGAGGTAAACACACAAATGAGAATGGAACCATAGACAAAGGAAAATGAAAATAATTATCAGAAAATACATATGTAACTCTATAATTTTATAGACCTCTCAAGAAGGATGATAAATTTATAAACCTCTCAAGAAGGATGATTTCCTAGCAAAAGAGAAAACTATTAAATTTGGTCTCAAGAAGAAATTGAAAATTTGAGTAAATACACTAAAAAAACTACAAAGGTAAAAAAGAAACCACTTGTATTATTAGAAATGCAATTGTATGAGGGGATTCAAAAGAGCATAGTTGTAATCATTGATTCAAAAAAATATATAACATTTCTGTGTTTGTATCTAAGTAGGCATCCCTCCATAAAATAGTCACAACTGCCAAGAAGAGAAAATTTCCCAGTATTTGGAAAGGTGGCCCATGGGCATACCCTAATACCTAACAACTCTTTAGAGAGGCTTTCCCACAAGAGCTTAAACAGCCATGATCAGGAATATTAAGTTGTAATGGTGAAGATCTGAAGATAATCTAAATGTCCATGGGAGGGGGATGGATGAACATATTGTGATGCATTCAAACAAATGACTTTATGCAGCAGTTAAAATGGTTACAGCTCAAAAATATGTTGGGTGAAGAAAGCAAGTTGTAGAAAATTATTGGTATATGAAACCAGTTATGTAAATTTTTTAAATAAACAAGACAATGACTATGCATTTGTTTCAGACACATATGTATGTAATGAAAGCCTGGAAATGTGGACTGGATACATGGTAAGAATGGATTGCCTGCAGAGAGAAGCAGTAGCACACACCCTAGAAAGGGAAAGATGGGAACCTCAACTTTAATTTTCACCATTTAAAATGAGATCTAAAATAAATATGACAAACTGTCAATATGCTTTAAAATTCTGGAAATACGCACAATTTTGTATAACTCTTAGTCAAAGTTTTAAATTTATATTGCCTCTCAAGAGCTCTTTTCTGCATTCCTTTTGTCCTGTATGTTTCCAGTTTCCTGAGAGACACCCAGTACTGTCTCTTTCCCCATACCAACTCTCCAAAAGCAAACCAATAGCTGCTGTTGGTATTTAGTATAATTTAAACAGCTTATTACTCTCAGAGATATCTAACTATTAAATCTATATCTGTATGTTCTTTCCAAAAATTAAAATATCAGAACAGGTAGTTGCATCTTTGTAATTGTAGTGATGTTTTTCTGGGAAACGGTTTTCCCTGGGCTCTTGGAATCACATCTGCTAGGCAACCTTTTATACGCCTGTGTGTAATTCAAGTCCAGCTCAATGAAAGCAATTAACTTGAGCATTGTTTTATTATTACATTAATGCAAAAGACTTGCATAGGGACATTCTAGTATTCACAATACTGCAAATAATTGCATAAACACACTTCTCAGTTCCCTAGATGGATAGGGTGACCAAACACATGACAAATCTGTTTTACTTAGAGAGACAATAGTTTGCTAGTGAATATGTGTTTAGAGAAATATAGGTAAGGGACATGGTTGAGTTTGGAATTAGGCACTTGATACTCTCAAGGATGCGGTTTCTTCAAAGAGACCAGAAGGCGATTTCTCTATAATGTACAAGCTGCAGAGCAGGATACAACTTTTTGGCCATGCACATACAGGCAGATTGCCACTGGCTGGAACAGAAAGCTCAATAACTTGCCCATTATCATTGGATTTAGACTTTTACTTCAGCTTGTTTTAAATAATTTTTAACATAATCCAAGATTCCCTTAATGAGTACAAACAATATACACTTTCTAATAAGCCTGGTAAATGTATTTAGATTTCTGTACCACTTAATATCAGGTAGTACACAACTTATTATATTAAATAACTAAAAGCTTGGTTTACTAGTTTTATTAGTTTTTTTAATTGGCCTATTATACCAATTTATAAAATCTGAACATTTCTTATAAGAATTAGAAACTTCTGTTTCTATTATACTGAAGTCAGATAAATGACTCATGAAAATGTTAGAATCATACTGATAATTTAAGTATATATATATATATACACACACAAGTATATATGCTTAATTAAGTATATATATATATACACACACACACACTTTATATATATATATATATACATATATATATATACACAAATCAAATCTTTGATTACCTAAATTCAATTTTTGTTTTTGGTAATACTGCATTTAAATGTATAATATGCCCATATGTTATTGGTTCTTAAATACCAATATCCATGCTTCATAGTAGAAAAATTGCTGGGACACCTAGGTGGCTCAATTGGTTAAGCGACTGCCTTCCACTGGGGTCATGATCCCAGGGTCCTGGGATCAAGCCCCACATCGGGCTCCCTGCTCAGCAGAGCCTGTTTCTCCCTCTGCCTGCCACTCCCCTGCTTGTGCTCGCTCTCTCTCTGACAAATAAATAAATAAAATCTTTAAAAAAAATTGCTTAAATAGTTTGGGAATAAAATTATATTATATACTCAGGGTCATCTGTATTAATATATGTGATTTTTTGGTTCAGAAATATACTCCTACAGGCTCAACTTTCAAAAATATTTTATATTCCGTGTTTAATATCAGGAAGCTTTAATTTTACAATATGTTAATACAAAAGACTTGATAGCTCTGTGAAAACTTTTGTAAGACAGAGAAATTATACTAGTCACTTGCATTACAGTTAAAATATTCAAATAGATATATTTATTACTATAATCAGTTACTATGAATCATTTTTATTTGATATGTAGTGGAAATAAAATATGAAATATTCCTCTGAAGGCAAAAGTATACAATCACATTTACATAAGAGTGAGGAAGTAAAATAAAGCATTTACCTCTGAACTCTCTATATATTCCAAAGAATTTGCAAACTTTAATTTATGACTAAATCTAAAAGGGAATACTTATGAAATAAATTTATCTGAATATCCAATGTACTCCCAAAAATGTAACTCTTACTTAGACTAAAACTCTGATGGAATTCAGTAAAGGCATTTCTGTAGTTATTCAGAAAGATGAATGGCTACTAAATGAAACATTAATGACAATGGCCACTCTGGCTCTGAATAAATGTGATAATCCTTTTCCCTTAAAAAAAAAAACAAACAACGGAAATCTTCTATGTTAGTGCTCACTTCAGTAGCACATATACTACGATGGGAACAATACAGAGAAGATTAGCATGGCCCTGTGCAAGGATAACACGCAAATTCTGAACGCAGTCCATATTTTTTAAGATATGGAAGCAACCCAAATGTCCATCAGTAGATGAATGGATAAAGAAGATGTGTACACACACACACACACACATATACACACACACGTGTACATACATATACTTATATGTATATGTTTATATATATACATATACATATTTACTGGAATATTACTCAGCCACAAAAAGGATGAGATCTTGCCCTTTGTGACAACATGGATGGACCTAGAGGGTATTAGGCTAAGTGAAATAAGTCAAATAGTTGAAAGACAAATACCATATGATTTCACTTACAAGTGGAATCTAAAAAACAAATGAAGAGACAAACAAAAAGCAGAACCAGACCTATAAATTCAGAGAACAAACTGATGGTTGCCAGAGGGGAGAGGGGCAGGGGTATGGGCAGTATGGGTGGGGGGGGGGAGATGCAGGCTTCCAATTGAGGAATGAATGGGCCACGAGAATGGAGGGTATAAAATAAGGAATGTAGTCAATGGCATTGTAATAGTATCGTATGGTGACAGATGGTGACTTGCACTTGTGGCAAGCATAGTACAAAGCATAGAGATGTTGAATCACTATGTTGTACACCAGAAACTGGCGTGGCACTGTGTGTCAACTATACTCAAAAAAAAAAAAAAAAAAAGGACAGTGTATCATCAAGATTTAGATATGTTATAAATAAAAGCTTGCCTTGTTCCCATATTTTAAAATAAATAGTTCTAAAATTCTTTAGAATAAATAAATATTTATTTATTTATTCATCAGAGAGAGAGAGAGAAGCAGGGGGAGCAGCAGGCAGAGGAAGAAGCAGGCTCCCTGCCGAGCAGGCAGCCCGATGTGGAACTCAATCCCAGGACCCTGGGATCATGACCTGAGCTGAAGGCAGACGCTTAACCGACTGAGCTACCCAGGCGCCCCTAGAATAAACATTTTAAAAGACTGATATCTTGACCTTGGTGGAGAAGGCATGGCCATGTCTCACTGAATGGCAGAGAAGTCACTGCGGTACTGTGTCAGCAAAGACTTCCAGAAATCTGCTGTCTAGGGTCTCAGAGAAAGCTAGTCACAGGGAGACATCAGCCCAGAGGCATTCTGCTACAGTACCAGCAGGGGAAGCTGCTGGCAGCTAAGCTCTGTTGACCACCGGCACCACAGGAGGTAGAAGATGGAGAAGCTGCAACTGCCACAGGAGCATGCTGAGTGAGCATACACTGGAACCAGGAAGCAAAGCCCTTTTCTCCTCCAAACCCTCTCCATCATGTACTTGCAAAGCCTCGAAGCTTGGTGACAATGGAAAAATACTTAGGGTCCCAAATCCATTTTCACAAAGTAATATAAGAGAGTGAATTTGGCTTTTTCTTCTGAGTGGTTTTTCTGTCCTCTGCATGCAGTGTTCAATGCTACAATGCTTGGTTATATCAAATCAGTCAAAGGAGAAAGATCACGAAGAATTTCATGATTCTAAGGTTTCTAAGGGCAAGGTCTGGAAGTGGCATGTATCATTTCTATTTACGTGTCTTTGACAAGAACTCGGTCAGTCATATGCTCACACTTAACTGCCAAGACAGGATAGCAAATGTAGTTAAGCTGGAGCCCAGGAAGAAGAAACGTTTTTTTTGTGTGTGTGGTTTTATTTATTTGTTTGTTTTGTTTTTTTAAATTTATTTGAGAGAGAGAGTGATAGAGATTGAGAAAATGAGTGTGTGGAGGGGGAGAGGCAGAGGGAGAAGCAGACTCCCTGCAGAGCCCAGATGCGGGACTGGATCCCAGGAGTCAAAAGCAGACGCTTAACTGACTGAGCCACCCAAGCGCCCGAAGAAATGGTTTTGGTGACTCGTTAGTCTCTGTCATAGATTATTTCTCTTAATTTATTATTTTATTTTTCCTGAAAGCACTGCATCTTACTGCTGGTCACCATTACCCCTGGCCTGGTTGATAGTAATATATGCATGTAATAACCTCAGATGTCAGCTGGAGCCCCTCCAGTCCACTAAAATCTGATGATGGTGGTAATGTGTGTACATATATATTGAGATGTCAGCTAAGATTCCTCTGCCCATGGAGTTCCAGATAAGATTTGCCCCAGTTTCTTGCCCCCAGAGAGGTCTGCAAATTCCCAGAGTGCCTATATTCTTAGAGACTTCTCCATGCCTAACTTCTGCTTTCATATACACTGCTGACATTCCTCACCGCTCTGATCCAGATATGAAATCCAAATCTTCCATCGATTTCCACTCAAAAGTACTTGCTTAACCACCACACTTGTGGGTATGGAAGACTTTACAGAGGAGATTTAATGATAGGAGGAGGAATAATTTCAAACTGCATACTAGGCAGCCTCTCCTTTAGTACCGACTTCTGGGAAATTTCTGAGGCTTTTCACCTCATCTGGTTTACTTCTTCACATCACCTCGAGGCTCCCTTTTTCCCCAGAGTCTCTTTGCTCCCCAGAGGAAAACAGATCCCTTTTGCTTTGTCATACAGAACAATTTAACCATTTTTATTAGTTGTTTCTTAAGTTCCTACTGACACCAGTGTTCTTGGGAGCCTTATTTTCCATCCCCAAGGACTCTAAATGTACTTTAAGAGAAATCCATGCGCTGGTTGTTAAAGCCAAAATTTTCACATTATTTCATACAAAGCCAAATGACTTGATACTGACTATGCTAAGTGAGTTCTACCAGATCAGCATTCCCAACATGTGTTCTATAGTGCACCAGTCCTATGAGATAATCTGTAGGCAAAAATAAATAAACAAATGAGATCTATGACCAAGTAATTTTAAGAATCCTTGCATACTACATTCCTCTTCTTGGAAATTCACAATGCATATTAAGCATAATGAAAGCTGGGAAAAGTTATGTATCTGTTTAGCTGTGATAGTAGCTAACTTATTTGATGACATAACCTTTTTCTCCCCACAAAATGCCCTTTAATGTACAGAAGGTACAGAATGTAGAAAGTCCCTTCTAGCTATAATGTTCTGAAATACTGTAATTCTTAAGCACCTATATGACTAATGACAAAACATCCATAAAAGAAAGAAAGAAAGAAAAAAAAAAAAAAACATCAGAGCAACAGCCTGGCCAGAATAGGAGCTGTCACACACTTTCTCATTGTAAGAGCCCTCTTGGGTGACCACTGCCTCCACCCAGAGTTTTAAGTCATCTAGTTATTCTAAGAGGGTGAGGCAGAGCCTCTCAAAGACTAATCAGAAATGAACAGGAAAAAGAAAAAGTAAATTTCCCAGCTGGTGCTGAAAGCTCCGTTTCTATACTTCACCTTCAACAAGGCTACTTGAGTCAGGGCTTTGTCTGTCTGCCTGACAAACATCCCCTCCCTCTTTCCTCTTTGTATTCATCCACTCTAGGATCCCTGTGTTCTCTTGCGGTAAGCTGCTTCTGCTCCCTGCACTCCTCCCCAGTACCCCCCTAACCCCATATTTAACCTTTCACTACTCCTAGTCTTAACTCTTGATCTTTTTGGCCAAAAGGACACTTGGTTGTAATGTAACCAAATTTTATAGTAAGTCAGCAGTCTAGACAGTAGATGACTTTTATTGCCCCTTCTAACCTTGACACTATGAAGTAGTTAGACCTTTGCTCTGGTAGAACACGCTGACTACCAAATTTTTAAAAATATATCTTAAATGAGAAATACTGTTGGGTAGTACAATTCACTTGAATATTGTCACCAAGGCACAGGCCCACATTTTTATCAGATTGAAAGTGTCTTGGAAAACACATAGTGTGATATAAATACAGTAAATCACCAGTATTTCCTGTCATTTTCTTGAAGAAGTATTTATTTCTACTGTTTGAGTACTTCAGACTCTGAAATAAATGTACTGAAGTCTCCTCCTTTCAGATAAATTAACTTCTTTTAAAAAAAGGTAGAAGTCTTTATATTTACTGACTACAAGTTCTTTGCCTGATATATGTGTTTCAAGTATTATCACCCAGTCTAATGGCTTACCTTTCATTTTCTTAATGGAGTTTTTTAAATAGCAGAGTTTTAAAATTTTAAGTTCAATTTATCCATTTTCTTCCAGAACATTTATATTTTTAGCTTTTATGTTTAAGTCTATAATCCATCTCAAAAGAAAGTTCATGAAGGATATAAGGTAGAGATCAAGGTTAATTATTTTTCATATATTTATCTGGTTGTTACAGCACCATTTGTTGAAAAAAATTTCCTTTCTCCAATGAAATTCTTAGTGCCTTCATTAAAAATCTATTGACCAAAAATGGTGGATCTATTTCGGACTCTTAAAGACTTTAATTAAATGCCTCAGTTTCTATGTTCTCTGCCCTTGGCCTACCAACAAAACTTTAATGCAGTAAATTTTAACTTAATCTAGTCTTTTAATCTAGTACTTAATCATTGCTCAAATTCATATTAGAAGTTTATAAGAAGCATTTTAAGCTAGTCAAAAATATATTTGTAAGGCATAAAAACTGATTAATAAATCCAGTGTCTATGCTATAAAATTTATACACTGCCACCTCAACATCTTTTAAATCCTGTACTATCTTCTTTTCCTTTCCAAATCTCTGAAGTTCTTCTTCCTATACTTTTTCTTTTTCTCCCTAATATTTTTATTATTCTTAATGTCTTCCCATACAATGGTTATCTTATTCCTATATTAAAGGTAACTAGATTTTTCTTTTGTTGAATGAATCTTTATAAAAGAGGCTCCTCTGGCCCACATCATCTTTTTCTTTTGGCTAAGCCCCTTGAGTGTCTTCATCAGGTATTCACTACACAAACTTTCCATATTAGTTCATGCCGAGAATATAGAAGGGGTTTGGATAAATATTTTAAATGAATGAGTAAATGAATAGACATATAAATGAAATAAATCTGGGTTATATTCTCAACTTTCCCTAAATTCCCTAACATTAATAATTCAATAATTGTTTCTCAACCTAACCTTGCTGAACATTTTCACTGCACTTGGTATCACTGACTCCTTCCTCCTTAATATCTTTGTTTTTTTTTAAGATTTTATTTAT